AACTATAATTTAAAAATTTCAATATTGGGTCTTAGAAAAATCATAATTTTAAAGTACATTATGTGAATAGAAAGCAAGTCGAAGAAGTTTATTCACCAAGAAGACATAAAAATAAATACGTTAAAAATGAAACATAATGACTTCTATTATAGCCATTGAAAAATTAACTGGTTGCAATTTAACTGAAGAAAGTATAGGTAGTGGCTTTCTTGGCCCAACTATTTTTACTTAGGAGTACCTACTTGGTGACCCGCAAAATATCTCAAAAAAATCCTAATTCCAAAAGAATTTCAGTTTGCTTTTTTGAAGGAATGTCTATATTGAAAATTCACATAACTCAATGAAATGAATTCCATAAATAAGTAGGTAATTTAAATGCAACAAACCTTCTGCCATACGCTTTGAATAATGTTCAGTATTTGTAATAACAATAATGAAGTAAATAAGTTGAGGTAACCAGCTAAAAATAATTATATATATAATCATTACCTATAGTCTTGGTGTTTTTGGTGGCCAAATCCTTGAACAAGGACCTAAAAATTCATTTACAAAGCATTGTAATTGTGGGTCTGAATTATATTGTTCTTAATGAATAAAAAAAATCGAGAGTAAACCATTAGTAATAGCAATAATAATACATGTAGAAGACAAGACGACTTTCCATCAAGATAAATGTTGCATGACCTCAATTTAAAAACCTATATGTATGTAGGTAGGTAGGCGGTTCAAAAATATCGAAAGTTTTTTTTTTCAGTCAATAGGCTCATTACACTTCACTTATGATCCTATTTGTGCAATAATTTGTTTTACCAACTTCAAAAAATGAGCTGCTTCTCACTTGAAAATGTATGTAGCTATAAGGCTAGAAATTTAAAAACGAGCAACGAGCAACAGTTGGCTACTTATAGCATTATAGCAGTTTTCGATTAAATTTTCCTGCTAAAACTTTATCCACTCCTATAGCAATCCATTTTTGTTAAATGGAAGTCTTTTCCTGCTTCATAGGACGCGACTCCAGAATGTAATTAGTCCACCTTCCATCATTCATTCGACTTACATGACTAACCCAATTCCACTTCAGACAAGACAAACTTCTCCTAATAGTCCAGGAGGCAAGTAAGTACTTTCTGCTGGAAAGTATTCCGAAGTTAATGATACCTTGGTATGTCATTTGTGGGTAGTCTGTGGAGTAAAATCTGGGTTTTCGACCTCGAGGACCCTGTTGCTCCCCCCAAGCTAGAGTCGGAAAACCCCGAAATGTTCGGACTTTTTCAGTTTATTGCTTATCTTTTAAACCATGTGTTTTAGCGGAATACGCCTAGTTATAAAGTTGAAGAATGAGGAATACCACCTATCTTAAATATTATTTCTTCAAATCCTAACTTTTTAAATAAAAGTTTACTGAATAAAAGTAAATGTTGCAACCATGTAATGTGCTGTAAAGTTTATGAAAACTGGACGCGCCGCAACGAAAAGCGTACTGAAAAGGTAGGTAGAAGAGAATGGGGAACTAGAGGACTAGGCTGAAGAAAAAGCTGGGCTGGTCCCTTAGACCGCTTGTCCTCCATTGTTTATTATTTAATTTTTATTTTGTATAAAACTGATTGTACAGGGTGCTGCAATTTGGAGTGTTTCAATAGGAAAAACACACTTCCAGACCAGATAAAGGAAAATTGACTTAAACGTCATGGGATCAATTTTTGTGAAACGTCAATTGTCAAAAACCGTATCACGATATCTTCAATGGTACCATTGATACAGGGTGATATTCGATTTTTCCCTATTATGAAAAATAGCTATAAGTTTTTTATTTATCAATTTTTTTTATTTCTGTAAAAACATTATGGAGACACTTTTTTGAGCACAATCCAGTGGCGGACTCAGTTTTTTTCTATATCGTTCCAATTTCGAGATACCGACCAAATTCCGATATTTTCAAATGAAACACCCTAAATATTAATAGCTCATTGGATAGCTCTGTTTTTGCTGATTTCAATGATATAAAGTTCGACAGGTTTATCTCTAACAGTTTTCGAGAAAAAAAATTATATTTGTTTTTGTCGTAAGGACCAATGTGTTAGAAAAGGATTTTATATGTGTAAGGAAAAAGAGGAAGGTCTCTTTCTAGCACATTGTTTCTTATGACTGAAACATATAATTTTTTTTTCTCGAAAACTGTTAGAGATAAACCTATCGAAGTTTATATCATTGAAACCAGTAAAAACAGAGCTATCCAATGAGCTATTAATATATAGGGTGTTTCATTTGAAAATATCGGATTTTGGTCAATATCTCGAAATCGAAGCCAGAGAGAAAAAAACTGAGAACGTCACTGAATTCTGCTTGAAAAAGTGCTTCCAAAAAGTCTTTACGGAAATGAATTATTTTCATAAACAAAAAAGTTATGGAGGCTTGACAGTATTGTTCAAAATCGAGAATCGCCCTCTACCGCCTAAACGGTTGAAGATATCAAAATGCGGTTTGCACCAATCAAAATTTCATGAAATTTGAGGCTCAGAGTGGGGGGTCCATTTTTTTCTATCTCTAAAAATAAAGGGTGTTTCCATAAGAAAGTGTCCAATTTGGACCACCCTGTACAGTTCAATTTGTGATAAGTTTTTGTGTCATAAGGAGCGATCACAGGTCAGTTGAATACCTAATTTTTATTTTGTTTTCCAGAGTGCAATTCATAGAAGTATTTATTTATATATATTTTTTTTTTTTTCATTTTTATGTTTGTTCATAAAAATTTTTTATTGCATGTGCATTGTTCATGTATTTAACAAAAATCGTTTCAGGCTGTAAACAACTCAGAAAAAAAAGTTAATTAAAACCTAAGAAATTATGTGCTGATGGGATTTTGATTTTGGGTATTCGGAGGGTGTATAAGGGCTTTTGTTGAATCTACTAACACTTTCCTACCCTGACGAGCAAAAATCCTAGCAAACAAATTGAAAAATCAACCTAGAGATATTAGCTCAAAATAACAACTGTAGCTGAGTAGTCTCCCGTAACCAGGGACCTCAGTACCTGCCGGAGATGCTAACTAACCAAAAACTCTTCAGTTTTGAATATAGGTAGGCAGGTAGATTGAATGTAGTGTGTGGAATTAAAATTTCAGCACAAGCACGAGAGACAGTACCTAATTTAAACTTTTATTGATTTAAATTATTGAATTAATGACTCTGACTTTCAGGTCGAGAACGGTACGATTTACTTAATAATAAAGTAAGTCTGTTTTTTTTTTAAAGATTAAAGTCAAAATAACATTATATTGTCAATACAATGTAAAATTGTCAATGCTTTCCAACTTTTTATGAAGAAAAGGCTTGTGTTGCCAACATAGTTACTAAATTTTCCTATTTTTTTAACCACAACCGCTTCAAGTTCCGCCAAACTTTCTTCGCATATGAAAAACCGTTCTAATAAAGCCTAGTACTCATAACTGCGAATTGCGGATTTTTATTTTGCGGATTTTTTTTCTATTGGTCGATTATATTTTAAATTTGACAGACAAATATATTCGGTCAATAGAAAAATTCCGCAATTCGCGGTTGTCAGTACTAGGCTTAACATTATTGCAGATGCCATATTAACTCAGCAGTACCAGGAAAACAATACAGGATGAAACTAAACACAAACAGTAAGTATAGGAATTTGACGTGTACTACTGAGCCCAGGCTCGTTCACTGTTCAGCTATCGATAGTTGTCAGATAGATAAGCGAGTTCAGCACGGATGACGTCAAAATTAGAATCAAAAAAAGTTTAGGGCGAGTTCTCTTGAGCGTAAGTTGACATTTCTGGCGTAATCGCGTGATGAAATGAATGGATTTTATTGGTAAAATATTCGCCATATTGGAGATTTTACCAATCAAATTACACCATATTTTCACGTGATTACGCCAGAAATGTCAACTTACGCTCATGAGAACTCGCCCTTATTTTCCAAAAATAATTATTAAAATAGGATACAATAAAAAAATAATTCAGTGGCACAGTAGACTGTCAGTGCACGTGAAAGAGTCGAGGTTGACAAGTTGAATATATTTTTTTTATCTTTGAACGATTGTATCTCGGTTACTATTGCGTTAAAGAATACTTCTGACCAGCTGAATTTGAAGGAAATTTAATTTTCTTCAACTTTATCCCTAGATGTATTCCACTAAAAACGCATGGTTTAGAAGTTATAAGCATAAAACTAAAAAAGTTCGAAAATTTCTAGGTCTGTCGACTTCCCCCCAAGTTAGTACAGGGTCCTCCAGGTCGAAAACTTAGATTCTACTCCACAGACTATCCACAAACTACATGCCAAAATATTAACTTCGGAATACTTTCCAGCTACACCATTTATTTATCACTTGCCTGCTGGCCTATAACAAAAGTGTGGAAGGTTCCAAAGCTCTTTGGGCCATTCTTATCCCACATTGATAGATTTTTTTGTCAGAGTTAAAGGTATCTACCTATACTTATAACTTTGATTTTTGACCGTTCAAGAGGTGAAATTGGGCTAGAGCTGGTCAAAAAGCTTGTTTGACCATCTCAGAGCTAATAAAATCCAATTGAAACATTGTAAAATTCATATTCCCAGCTTTACTAGAGCTGAAATTTCAATAAATTTATCGAAATCCTTGGTGGTATGGTGTTGAAAGTCTTATATCCGAAATTTTTCGAAATTCCTTAAAAATTGTCGAAATCCTCTGCCATTTTCGAAATCTATGTACCTATGTACAAATTGTGGAGAATGAACCGCCTCTCGTTTATTTCAAAACAAAATTCCAAATTCTATATATGAATATGTCCACTCAGTTATGTAAACGCTATATTTAGTATATTATATAGGTATAGGTAAACATTACATATAAACAATGACAAACCTTTAGGATACATAGTATTTACGTAAACTTGACATGAAACTAATCCTGGTACAAGTGAACAAATTTTGCATTATTTTTATACTGAAATTGTTTTCTTGACAAAATACATGTATGCAAACATTTACCTTATCATGATCCGAGAGGCCCAAATCAGCATACAAAGTGAACCCAGAAGGTTTTGTTTCAGCAGCTATATTGCTGGAACCCAACGTGTGGTACTTCATTGTTATTAAAATATAAATCCAAAAGCAACGGTTCTAAACACGATACACACAAAATAGCAGAATCTCCCTTTCAGCTTTAAAATACAAACACAAACTAAAACCAGGCAACAAAAACGACTTAATTGTTGCGCATCGCGTAATTGTTATTGATAAAGAAACATTCAACCCATGGCACCATATAGTTTACATATACGCGAACCAGCAACGATTGTTCTAAAGGAAGAATTCCAAGCTCGAGGAACGGTTCGATTTTTCGGTCCCCTCTCCCTTCGTACCTGAGGTTCTACCTATGTCGGCCACATACAGGGGGCTTAGGATGGTCGGGCCTGGGTGAAAGAAGGCCACAGTATTAAAACTTACAGCATTCTTTTGGTCTGTAGGGAATTGTTGGACATAGAACGGTAACTTTAAAAATTATCACATGTAAAAGTTTGATTTTGTTAAACGCTTCAACAAACAAAATCCAAGAATTAAGTAGGTAAGTAAAGTTAAAACAGAAAGTGCAATGATTTTGTTAAGATTGCGTAAACTTTACTGAGTTCAAATGTCTCTCGTGCGTGAGTTTTAACGAATAAGGTACTAGGTATTAGTACCTAGGTACCTAAGAGTCCAGTAATAATATTTTATCTCAATAAAGGGTTCGGGACGAGACGAAGAATCTCATAACATAATAAACATTGTTTTATCTTCATTCAGTAAAATTTGAATTAACGTAACCATTCCTCAATACGTCTCTATCAATACACATAAGTTGGGATGGTATATTGTGGGCCACCTTACCTTCCCTAAAAAAAACTAAGTGATAAGAAAGGCGACTGAAGCAAAAGAAGAAGAGTTTCTTATGGTATGTGTGCTGAAGAAAGTTTAATTTTTTTGTTGATAATGCGGATTTATCACCGTCAGAGTAGAGTAGGTTGTTTGATTGACGAGTACACAGACCTCAGACACAGACGATTCGGTTGAAAAGAGAAACTCCATTGCTTTGCTTAATGAAAGTGCGGTATATTTTTGAAATAGTCGGATGGAAAATGAAACACTTTTGATTTGATTTGAGTAGGTAGCAGGAAAATTATTGTCGATTCCCTTAAACGGTTTTTGATGTAATTCAAATAACCAGGATTTCCAGTTTCATTAAGACTAAAATGATAATTATGATATTAAAAAAGAATGTGATTTCCGGCTTTTATCATAATAAATTCCATGGAGATAAGGAATTGAGCACAAAGTTACATTATTTGTGAATATGTTTACTACCTTTTTTTTTGTTCTCCAGCGGCTGTTTGAACAGTAAACAAAATATCATTTCGATGAGTAATAATTAGTTGACACAATGTGCAATACATTAAAGATAATAAAGTGAAAAAATAAAAAAAATTGTTACCAGGTTTGCCTTTTGAAGTACATTTTCTCAAATTAGTACCACAGTTTATAAACCTCTAAGCGGAATAATTCCGCTTAGACATGGGCGAAGTTAGGGGGGGGCTTGGGGGTCTAAGCCCCCCCAAAAACCAATTTAGCCCCCCCAAAAATAATTCGCACTTCATCACACACACACATATTAGAAAATAGAAATTACAAAAAACCAAACATACTAATTAACACCTATTTACTGTTTTTTTTTTTCAATTATCATACTTTAACTAATCTAGGTATATGTGCATTTAAACATCTTCGGTTCAGGGTTCAGTTTCAATCAGAACTGGGAGTAACGACGAGTTACTGAAAGTAACGCGTTACTTGGTAACTTCGTTACTTTTCAGATTGATTGATAAGTAACTGTAACGACGTTACTTTCCTGAAGTAACTGCAGATCGTTATTTTGTTAAAGTAACGAGTTACTATGGAAGTAGCAGGTTACTATGAGAATAACGCGTTTATATGGAAGTAACGCGTTACTAGTTACTATGAAAATAACGCGTTCTCTCAATTTGTTTATCTTCTTTACAAATAATGGACGATTGAGGAAAAGTAAAATAAGTAATCCAAAAACTTTGTATGTCAAATAAAATGTGGGTAGTAGAGAAAATTTGTTTTGAAAGCTCAAAATAATCGTTTTTGGGCGTGGCACGCGCCGCCTCTGCTCTAAAGACACTATATGCAGACATTGGGACGCTTCAAAAAGCAGGTTTGTCCAAAACCAAGTTCTCTATTTAGTCGCTTAATCTTTAATCCGTTTGAATTTTGCAACAATACTCTTCCACATAGTCGGACTCACAAACTAAAAACATATTGGCAATTCGTATAGGTCTTATTTGATTGTTTGGACTGCTGTGTTGGTGTGTCAAATTAAGGAATAACGCAATTTTCGACGTAAATAGTTATTTTTGAAGTAACGCGTTATTTTAAAAGTAACACTTTATTTAAAAGTATTAGCGCTTTGAGGTAACGGGTAACTTTCAAATAACGAGTTACTTTTAAGTAACGAACTACTTCTAAAGTAAAGAAGTTACTTTCAAAGTAAAGAAGTTACAGTAACGCGTTACTTTCCAATAAATAACGAAAATAAAGTTATCATTATTCGAAAGTAAATGTAAATTTAAAATAACGAGTCATTTTTAAGCAAAAGTAACTGTAAAGTAACGCGTTACTTTTTTCAAGTAACGATCCCAGCTCTGGTCTCAATGTTAATGCCAAATTTGAGCCAATTCTGATGTTATTTTACAGAGTTCTATATGGCCCGTTTTTCAATTTTTTATTTAGTTCAATATTATTTGTACTTTCAAAAATAAACAATAATTTGTTTATTTTTTGAAGGGTCAGAACGCCCAAAATCGTTCATTTTGTGGGTCGAAATGAACGTTTTTGGACGTGGCACCCCAAAAAATTTTTTGACTCTGGTGGCGCTTGCGGCGGGCCTCCCCCTCCCCCTATGGGCCTGGGGCTGTAGCCCCCCCAGATCTGATGCCCTAACTTCGCCTATGCGCTTAGAGGTTTATAAACTGTGTTTGTACCTACTCTAAACGAATTCCGTGGGATCTCTAGAAGCGCTTCCAAATACATACAAAACGACTTTTAATCGAGAAATCTTCAGAATTCTGGTAAACTCTTCTTTATTTAAATCATACGTTATAGAGGCGAATTCTTGAACAGTCGCACCAATGGAATTTCGTAACAATACAATATCGATTTGAGCAAGATAGGCAAATGTTAAGGCTAACATGATCCAAAAGTCTCATTTGCACCAGAGCTAATAGCTATTCACATCTTATTAAAAAGATCTGCAGTATGAGTTGAAGTTTTAGGAAGGATTGTACAGCAATATCGCACCCCAAATACGGACAAATTACACCTGATAACCATTGGGATATGTGACTGAGGATCTATCTACCTATCTATTCAGCCTTCTTTAGTCCATCTTGGGACGAAGGCCTCCCCCAGTCTTCTCCATTCCTCTCTGTCTGTTGCCATGTTCATTCACCCTGGTTCCAGCGTGCTTCTTCAGGTCATCAGCTTACCTCATCTGGGGTTTTCCTCTACTTCTTTTATCCTCCCAAGGTCTCCAGCTTAAAATACATTTATTCCATTATCGGTCGTCTTTTTGTCTGATATTGTGACCTGCGAATTTCCATTTTAATTTCGCTGCTTCCTTTCTAACGTCTCTTACTCTCGTTTTATTTCTTATCCACTCGTTCCTCTTTTTATCTATCAGTTTCACATGTATAGCATTTGTCTTTCTATTGATCTTTGTGCTTTTGTTATTTTATCCATGTTTGACTTTGTAAGTGTCCATATTTGGGATCCATAGGTGAAGACAGGAAGTATACATTGATTATACACTTTGGTTTTGAGGTATTGTGGATATTTTCTATTTTTCAAGATGTAGCTGAATTTGCCGAATGCTGCCCAAGCCAATCTAACTCGTCTCTTGATTCCTGCTGTTTGGTTTTCTTTGTTGAGTTTAATCATCTGTCCTAGATATATATATATATATATATATACGTCAACCTGTTCTATTTTTTCTTGTTCTATTCTGATTGTGATATCATCGTTATTGTTTTAGTTTTAGCGTAGTTCATATTGAGACCTATGTTTTAAGCTGCTGAGTGCTGTGTCAAGTTCTTCCAGCATTTCCGTCAGTTCTTCTTTCTTATCAGTTATTACGGCGATATCATCCGCGTATCTTAAGTTGCTCAAGTGTTGTCCGCATATTTCTATACCTTTTACTTACCAGTCTAGTTTTTTAAAAAGCATCTTCCAGGGCCTGGTTGAAAAGTTTAGCTGTGTCGCCCTGTCTGACACCTCTTCCTATGGGTATCGGTTTTGTTTCCTCATGAACTTTAACAGTTGTTCGCTATATATGTTGGTTATTAGGTCTGTGTATCGGTAATTCGGTAGTCTATTCTGCTATTATTCAATTCAACTCTTTACTGCCCAGTGTTCAACACTATCAAAAGCCTTTTCGAAGTCGATAAATGTAATATATAGTGGCACGTGATATTCGTTGGCAAGTTCTAATAGGATTTTCACGGTTAATAGGTAGTCACTTGTACTGAAACCCTTTCTGAAGCCGGCCTGCTCTTTCGATTGGTAACCATCGAATTTTATTGTTAGCGTGGTGGTGAGAATTTTTGTGAAGAGCTTATAAATTATATTAAAGGGGGTGTGCGCCAAAAATTAAAGTTTTAGTATAAAAAAATCTAAGAATAACTGTTCAGACCTCGTTATTCTACGATAAACCATCGCTGAGATATACCGCTTTAAAGTGTGGACGACGCTCTCGTGACGTCACGAAAACTTCTTCCAGCCGCGCTTCGCATTGTTAATTTAATTGATTATTCCCGGCACGCCTGAGTGGTTTTTATTTAGATTATTGCAGGTAACACAGGAAAAACATATGTAAATTTAATTAGCTCCACTTTCTCGTGCGTCGCTTGCGCTTTCGTGACGTCATAGGGTGAGATGCGGTACCTTCATAGAGCCATATCTGCGGTATTATTTGTCATAGAGGGGTGCGGATTTCACTGTTATTCTTAGATTTTTTTTCTCTTTTTTTTTAGATGAAGTTGTTTTTTTGGCGCACACCCCCTTTAAGGAGTGTTATAGGTCGATAGTTTTTCAAGTTCTTCACCTTTCTTATGAAGGATGTTGGTTATGGATTCATTCCAGTTGTTTGGTATTTTCTTTCCTTTCAGTATTTTATTTAGGAGGGTATGGAGAGTATTGATAACCGTTTTCCCACCGTGTTTTAGCATTTCTGCCG